TGATAGTGGTGGTGGTGACGACGGCAGCCGCGACAGCATTTGGAGGGAGAAATTTCATACATCGTGACTGAGTTAGTGCGTGTACGTGCTACCGCGCGTATATGCTCTCTCATTCTCAAGATTGTGCGCGCGTGTATTGTATATGTATGTATGTATATTATCGCGCGCGCGCATTAACGGAATTCACGATCAGACACGCAGGGACTCTCAACAAATGTTTAAATGGACGCATCGTCCATTATCACGCAAGTGTCGCGGGATGACGAGCTAGGCCAGTTTAATAATGGGAAAGGTAGGTGTCTGCTGTGAATACAGCTTGCCGCCTTACATTTTTTTTTACGTTTTTCTTCCAGATGCTGGATGGAATCTGCACCTGTTACGGGACTGCACCGCACTCCTCACCTTACCTTACCTCACCTAACGTCACCTCTTACTTCTCTCCTGTTATTCGTCTATACTTCACTTCCGACGTCTCTTTTCCTCTCGTCCTCGTTTTTGCCTGGCCTCGCCTCATTTTGCCTTGCCTCTCCTCTTCAAATCATCCTTCTCCCCTCTTTTCTTTCACTTAAGTTTCGCGTGTAACTTATTTCATCGTGTAGTATTCTATCTTGCCGCCGTTTTAAACTATTGTATTTTGTTGTATGATGCTCGACATTGAATGAATGATTTAAACAATGCAATTAAAGTCAAATATTTTTCTCTTGAAAATTTTTAAATAATATGTAAATATTATTATATAAATATTTTTTGCTAATGATAATTTTTAATTCATTTTGTAAATTAAACAAAAAGTAAATTTTCATGTACAGCTTAATTAATTAATATTAATTAATATTAAAATTAATTATAAAAAAAGATTTTTATTTCTTCAATATTTTTATGTAAATAATATTTTAATATAGTTTAATAAGTTTTAATAATTTTTATTCATATAATACATCTGATATATATATTCATAAAATTTATTGTTTCAATACAAATTTTATTTCTTCTAAATGTAGCTCAATTACCACAAGAAAATGAAGTGGCCAACAACAATCCAGCCAGTGGCAAAAAGCCAAGAGGGCGTGGACTTCTGCGGTCTCTACTTTGTTGTCTTGGTAGAGGACGTGGAAGTAGTTCAAAAAGTTCAAAAACAAGTTCATTGCAAGGTGATGGACATGGTTCTCCATCCCTGAGGACTGGATCCCCAAGATTCCTTCTTCCACCTGTCAGACATCAGGATATGCACAAGAAGTGCATGGTGATTGATTTGGATGAAACACTAGTGCATAGTTCTTTCAAACCAATCAACAATGCCGATTTTGTTGTTCCTGTAGAAATTGATGGGACAGTACATCAAGTGTATGTTTTAAAGAGGCCTTATGTGGATGAATTCTTACAGAGAATGGGTGAACTTTACGAGTGTGTATTGTTCACTGCAAGTTTGGCTAAGGTATATTATATAAACAATTATTTATTACTATTAGTTTTAGGAAGGGAATATTATTTGAATATTCAAAATTTCTGGTATTTATAGTATGCTGATCCAGTAGCAGATTTACTTGACAGATGGGGCGTATTTAGAGCAAGACTGTTTAGAGAATCTTGTGTTTATCACAGAGGAAATTATGTTAAAGATTTAAATAAACTAGGACGGGATTTACAACAAATCATTATTGTTGATAATAGTCCTGCCAGTTATATTTTCCATCCAGATAATGCAGTAAGTTTTAATAGAAGAAACATACACACACGCAAAGAAAAAAAGAAATAAATAGAGATATAAATTATAAAATAAGTTTATTTTTAGGTACCAGTGGCATCATGGTTTGATGATATGACAGATTCAGAATTATTAGATTTAATTCCATTTTTTGAAAAGCTCAGTAATGTGGAGAATATTTACACAGTCTTGTGCAATAGTAATCATCCTTATAATCAAGTACCTTCGGCTATACAAAGTAGTCCAAGCCCAGGGTCAGGTTCACTTGGTGCTTCCTAGCCCTACCTAAATTCTAGCCAAATAGTCAGTATTGTCATCGCTCAATGCACTCTGAGGAGAATTTTAATTGGAATATTCCACATTGCTTATTTGTTATGTAGCAATGGACAACCAGGTATGACTTATTAAATGCTGAATATATAATATAAATATTTATCAAAAAATTGTCAAAAAGAAGTGAAAAATTGAATTATATATTAATTATTTCGATAAAACATAAATCACAGCTGCTTTCTTTATTGATTTCAGTTCTTTTTTCTGAGAAATAATACAATATGATTGTTCGCAATATGTCAAAAACAATGAACTGATTCTATTTATTTAATTATTAAAATATAGTTGATAAAAAGTTCAAAAATATTAATCTAATTGATTATATAACAAGACATTCTTTTAATTAAATTGGAAAAAAAATATATTTTAAGTATAATTTATTACACAATGAATTAATGTGTATATTCCCGTGTTTGATGTATTTGAGAAAAGGAGTAAATGACAATGGTAACAATACATGAAACATAAAATTTGATATTTGATGAATAAATATATTTAGTTGTATATCATTTAAATTTGTGTAAAGTACATCCAAAAATTATTTGCACAAAAAAATAAATCAAAGTGTAATATAGAAAAAAAAAATCAGATTACTTAGAGTCTTTTGATGAGCTATTATAATTTTTTTTTCTAAATATTCCGATTATTTACTATAATTTTGCTTTTAAAAACACTATACTAGTATTGAACTTCAATGAGTTTTTCTCTTTTTATGATTATCACATATTGAATAAAATAATTCTTATGTATCTTTTATGAGGCTAATAATTCTAATAATTTTATTTACAAAAATATAAAGTTTTCTTAACTATTTAATATTAATATTAGTGAAGTTCATTGGAAACTTGTATATTTAACTTCATTATCATGAAATCAATAGAATTTTTTTATAAATGAACATAAAAGATTAAAATATAAATATGTGGAAAAATGATGTATACGCAAAATAAATTATTTTTTCATTTTTTTATAAAATAAATAAAAAAGGTGAAATATCAAATCTGACAACATTAGTTAATTTAATTTAAATAAAAACTATGAAAAAAGTATATGATATTTTATTCTTATTATTTTAATGATATTATAATTCTATTCCAAAGAATTAAACAAAAAAAAGAAAGAATAATGCAATAGAAATTTTATAAGATAAAAAAAATAATATACATTTGAATATTATATTAATGCATATCATTCTGTTTTCAAACAATTGCGTCGATGAAGCATTATGTTAATCATTACAATAATAAATTACATTACATATATTAATAAATTAAAATTATTTAGATGTAATCCATAAATGAATAAAAAAATAAATATATATTTACACTTGTAAATACACTTATTAATAAATAGTCGACAATTTTGTACGCTTAATTCGTGCATAAGAAATGTACAATTAGAATTACACTTTTATATCCAAACTATCGTTATTCGTGCTTTTTTATTTTATTTGTATTGTTGATAATATATTCATCATTATTAATGATATATTAAATCAGATTTTATAGATAGATTAAACCAAATTTTATTATATTGTCATTATTAACTTAGTTTCAAATATTGTATTTTATTATATTATTTATCATATTATATTTTTCAAAATAAAATTTAGTAAAAAAAAACAAACAATTTAAATAAATATAGTTTTAAATAAAAATGTTTATAAATGAAATTTTTATTTATATATATTATATGTGCTTATTAGCTTTTATCCCTTTTATCGATATTTTCATATGATATGTTTATCATATAATATAATATAAAAATTTATAGTCACATATTGGTCTTTCTTTTGAAATTTCGCGCAATATTTGTTTTATATTTTAAAATAAGAAAAATAAGATATTGATAAATAAAAACAAAAAAAAAATTAGTTATAAAAAAGAGTTAATAAATTTTAAAATAAATTTATTGTTATATTTTAAAATAATCATTAAAATAGAATTTAATAATATTATACATTTATGATTTGGAAATAATTTTTTTTAGTTTTAATTTATTAATAGAATGAATTGAAATATAATGAATAATATAAATATAAAAATAGAATAAATAGAAATATAAATTCTATTATTGTTTTATTTTTCTATTATTTTTTATTACTTATCTCATCATATTATTATTATTGATAAAAAAAAATAAACTATTATTGTTATAAGATTTTATTTCATATAAAAAAGGGCTAAGGTATACAGAAATAATAAAGTTACATAATATTAAATCTTAAATGCATAATATTGCATAATGCTGTATATTGCATAATATTAAATGGCTTCCAACTAAATATTTTTTCAATTTTTTTGTTACATATTATATTATATATATTATGTGACTATATGTAACTAACTGACAATATTGTTTTCAATCAAATTTTAAAGCACCTGATATAAAAATAACATTATATACTAAATATATGCAATAAATAAAAATTAAATATTATATTGATTTTCATGAAAGTTTTATATAAGATCATTTTAATATTTATTATTTAATCTAAAATACACAAACTTATCTCAACATTATATAAAAATGTTGAATGTTTATATCTAAACATTATTTGTATTGTTATATTTATGTTTATTATTATATTTAAGAAAAAAACGGCATGTTATAAAATATTTGTACTTAGTAAATGTAATTCGCCGTTGTAACTAAAAACAAAGTTATGCTATAATCATATCCTTTCCATTTTATTCTTAATTTATAAATTTATTAAAAAAGAGAATCGGATATTATAAGAAATGATCATTAATTTTTAAAAATTTTCGATATAATATCAATTTAAAAAAACGTACATAAATAATAATATTTGCAATTCTATAATATAATATAAAATCTATAATATAAAAGATATTTCATTTTTCATTTGTATAATGCTCATCAAAATGACTCTAATTATAGAGTACTTTTTCAGAAAATATGTGCGAAAAACACGGAAAATCAGAGGAACATATATATATATATATCAATAATATTTGATAAATTTTTAGAGTTAAAATCTCTTTTGTATTCTCATTTCCTGCCTAAAAAGAGTGATAAATTTAAAGTATATATGAGCGATTACAATGTGATTACTACTACGTGATTAGTCATGTGACAAAATCTTGAAAAATTATTTCTAAGTTCTTCATCTTGTCCCTCCTTTTTCTTATCACAAAAATTATTATCTTTAATACTATATGATAACAAAATTCAAATATAGGAAACATCATCATAATATTGTAAATTTTTGAAAAAATCATGTTATTTCCGACAAAGACTGTGTTCCTTATCAGATTTAACGTACATGAAATAATATATATCAAACATCCCTTAAGTATCCATCACGTTGTGCTTCCGTGATTAAATAACATTAACAATCCAGTGTACTGCTTTTATTGAATGCAATTTGTTGAATGCTTGAAACACGTATCCGTAGTATTTCGTAATATTCATGCGTTTCTTTTGTCATATTTTAGTCTTTCCAAACATTTTGTTTTCTTTTCTTTTTTATTATTATTATAATTATTATTATTATAATTATTATTATTATAATTA